CTGAGGTAGAACTGTTTGCTGATCTCGATCAACCTGGGCTACATATGGAGACTCTGTCTCAAAAAACCTAAGCTAGGGGAACACTGACTGCTCTTTCACAGGACCTGGGTTCAGTTTCCAGCACCCATATGGCAGCTAACAGCCATCTATAACTCCAGTAACAGGGGATTCGATGCCCCCTTCTGATCTCCTTGGGTATTGCATGACACGGATGCACTTATATACATGCATGCAGTACACTCATACACATAAAATAAAAGAAATAAAATATTAAAAAACCCAAAGCCAACCACACACACACACACACACACACACACACACACACACACCCACACACACCATTTTATTATTTAATATAGGCCTTAAAGCACAAGGCATTTAGTAGCTTAATGTCAAAAGATATTTAACTTATTTAGTAGGTTAACATAAATTTAATAGAAATGAAATAGAATACAAGAACTGCAGACATTTTAATAATAAGTTTTAATGGTGTTTTTAAAGAGGAAGTTATTTGTTTGTTTTGGCTTTTTGAGACAGCCTTGCTCTGTAGCCCAGGCTAGCCTCAAACTTCTGGCAGTTCTTTTGCCCCAGCCTCCCAAGTGCTGGGATTACAGGTGAGAGCCCCCATACCTGGCTTTTGTCATTTATTTTCACTAGTGAGGTAATGTGGGTAAGAACTAGTAATTTTAATTCTTTGCTTTTATAATTGTAGAGGAATAACATTTTTAAACATTTTATTTATTTTTTTTATTTTATGTGTATGAGTGTGTTGCCTGCATGCATGTAAGTACACCTGTGTCATGCAATGCCCACAGAAGTCAGAAAAGGGCATCAGAACCCCTAAAACTGGAGTTATGGACAGTTGTTAGCTGCCTTGTGGGTGCTAGAAATTGAACCCAGGTTCTCTGTAAGAGTAGTCACTACTCAACCCCCAGCCATCTCTCCAGCCTCAGGATTTTATTTATTTTTATATTATGTGTATGAGTGTTTTACCTTCCTGTATGTATGTACGTATACCATGTGCCCACAGAGGCCAGAAGAAGGTGTCAGAGCCTCTGGAACTAAAGTTATAGATGATTGTGAGCTGCCATGTAGGTGCTGGGAACTGAACCCCGGGTCTTCTACAAGAAGAGCAATCACCAGTCCCTCCATTTCTGTTTCTTAAGGGGAAAAAAAAGGTCAATAGCATAGAATATAGTACATGTAAAACCCACCCTTATAAAATTAGTTGACTTTTAGCAAAGTGATTGGAGAAAGGAGTCTTTTCAACAAATGGCGTTGGAACAACTGAATATACACAGAAAACACCAACTACAATGGCAGCCTTTGCCTCACATAACAATTTGAGCTATCTGCTCAAACTGTAGAAAACTGGGAAGCATTTGGAAAAAAGCAAAAAAAAAATTCATGTCCTAGGGACAAAGATTTCTTTCAGGACAAAGAAAGCAATTATCATAAATGAAAAGCTAATACTGACTAATTAGATTTCACCAAAATTAAAGTATCGAGCCACAGACTGAAAAAACACAAAATGTGTATCTGACAAAGGACTTGTTTCGAGAACATAGAAATTTTAACAACCCAACAATAAAAGGACAAACATTATCATTAAAAATGGGCAAACCTGCCAGCATCAGCACATGCCTGTCATCCCAGAACCCAAGAAGAGGATTGCCATTTCAAGACCTACCTGGGCTATGAAGTAAGATCTTGTCTTTTAAAAACAACAACAACAAAAAGAAGAATGGAAAGAAGAGAGGGAGGGGAAGTGGAACAAAAACTCAGATATTTTACAAAGAAAAAATATATCAGATAGCCAATTAGCACATGAAAAACTTTTTAACAGGCTGGAGAGATGGCTTAGTGGTTAATAATGCTTGTGGCTCTTGCTGAGGACCTGACTTCAGTTCCCCACACCCATGTTGGGCAACTCATAACTGCCTGTAACTCCAGCACCAGGGGATCTGACACTCTCTTCTGGGCTCCACAGGAACCTGCATACTCCTGGCATATCCACACACAGGCACATATATAAAAATAATAAAAGTAAATTTTAAAGTGTTTGACATCATTTGTCATTAGAGAAATATGAATTCAAACCACCTACTTTATTATTTTGGGGTTTTTTTTTGAGTCAGGGTCTCACTATGGCTAGTCTAGAAGTCACTATGTAGACCAGGCTGGACTCAGATTCACAGAGGTCTACCTGCTTCTGTCTTCCGAGTACTGGAATTAAAGGCATGTGTCACTATGCCCAGCCTTTAAAAAGAATTAGAAATCACTGTCATATTGTCTAGTCTTGAGAGAATATTAGCTAATATAATTTGTGAAACCACAGTTTTTCAGTTGCTTACAGAAGTCGTATGAATGTAGTTACACTGTCATGTCACATTCTGCATTTCTGAACCAGAAAGTGCCTCTTAGCTTCTCTTCCCGTCAGTCTAGCTGTTTTTCCAAATGTCTGACTTTGACACTGGCAACACCTTTCTTCCATTTAGAAGCTATGTGTTCAAAGCTTGTCTGAGTCCCTGTGGTTTCTGTGAGACAGTGTGCTTCAGTGGTTAATAACAGACTAGTCTGATTCCATAACTGCCATTTGCTGGCTCAATGACCTTACAGAGGACTAATCTGTCTCTCCCCTCATCTGTAAACAACCACAGAGTTGTTGTGAGGGTTAAGTGGTCTTCAGATGAGCAGTGGCTTCTATATAAGTGCATCATAACTGTCAGCTAGTACTGCTAAGTATTTTGTGCCTTCACAAGTTAAATTGAGCTCCATGATGAAAACATAATTTCTGTTTTCGGTAAGGCCTGTTCATTACCTGTCATGGTAGAAGACAAAGAGGAAGGTCAAAATACCTGTCAAATATGAGAATACAGGTGCTGGAGAGATGGCTCAGTGGTTAAGAGCCATCTTGCAGATGAACAGAATTCAGTTCTCAGTACCCATGTGGCTTAAAACTGCCTGTAACTCCAGCTTCAGGGGATATGGCACCTCTGGCCTCTGGACACCCATACATATATGCACATACCCACCTGCAGACACACATACATAATTAAAAATAATAAAAAATATTTTTTAAAAAGTATAAGAATACAGTAGTGATATGCTTGTTGGTATATAGTAAAGCATGTATCTTGTTACTAAAGCCAAAAAAAAAATTTTGACTTCTTTGGACTCTAATTCTTGCTATCTGAAAACAAAAGTCACATAATCATGAGACTATGGGGAGGCAAGCAAATGTGTTCTTCAGTGGAACTATTACATCTTTAATGGAAGCAACTTTCAAGGGTGGATCTGCTGGATCCATGTTTTTTGAAACTGAGTTTAACAACCACCTGAGGTGTTTGTAAAAAATAGATTCCATGTCCCTAATGCAGACTTTTTCTGAATTAGGGTCTCAAAGAGACAACACAGAATTTTTTTCCTCTGCCCTCACTCCCTTTTTTTCCTTCCCAAACCTTGGGTGAAGTTAGGCATGATGGTACAACCTGCAGTCCCAGCACTTGGAAGACTGAGACAGGATTGTGAGTTCCGGGCCAGCTTGAAGTGTATAACAATACTCCATCTCAAGAAAAGAAAGAAAAGATACCTTGGGTGATTGTTACAAGAGACAGTTTTAAGTTCTTTTTAAATTGTATTTACATTTATTTGCTGGTATGTGATCACACATACAGAAGTCAGAGGACAAGTTGTAGGAGTCTGTTCTCTCCATCCACCATGTGGATATTGGGGATTGAACTCAGGGTGTTCGACTTGGTGGCAGGTGTCTTTACCCTCCCACTGGGCCTTCTTGACAACCCAACAATTTGTTTGGAAGGTTTCGCTTGGATTTCTGTAGGCAAAATATTTAATACAACTGTTTATATTTCTTTACCTTTTTTCTAAAACACTTCAGGCCTGAGGATTTGCGCCGTGAGTTTGGTCGATACGGTCCCATAGTAGATGTTTACATTCCACTTGACTTCTACACTCGCCGCCCAAGAGGATTTGCTTATGTTCAATATCCTTTATTTTATTGTGAATGTACTGCATACGTGTGCTTATACATTCATGTATTTAGAAGTACATGTTATGAGATTAACATTGTCTAATTAAATGTGTTTATTTCTTTACCTCAGAAAATCTAAAACAGTTTATGGTAGCTGGCAAGCACCCCCAGTTTGAATCAACTTGTTAGCTACAATCCGACCATAAGCTGACCAGGCAAGACAAAGGCACCTAAAGTTCAAGTGTCAAGGAGTAAAGGGGGAGGGCAGATACAGATACAAAGACCTGGAAGAGGGGGAAGTCTTTATCAAGCAAAAGACAAAGCCAGCTCGGAGACATCAGCTTTTCTACATTTATTCAGAGTTCCAGAGTCAAAGCCAAGTCTGTTTTTGCTAGTTCTGCATCTCTTATAAAGTCCACCTTGCAAGTCTTAAAGAGGAAAGGTCAAAGTTCAAGATCAAATGCCACTGAGGTAACTGCTGGTCTCATTTTATATTGCATTTCTTCAGCTTTTCTCTGTTGGCTTGCTATTTTAAGAAACAAGTGGGGCTAGAGACATGGCTCACTGGTTATGAGCACTGCCTGTTCTTCCAGATGATCTGGGTTCAGTTTCCAGAACCAACATGGCAGCTAACAGCTGTCTGAAACTCTAGTTCCAGGAGATTTGCCACCCCTTTCTGGCCTCCACAGCTATTGCACACAGGAGTGCACTTACAAACATGCAAGGAAAACACTCATACACACTAAAAAAAATTTTTTTTTGGTCTTTTTGAGACAGGGTCTCACTGTAGCCCCAGCTGACCTGAAACTTGCTATGTAGACCAGGCTGGCCTCAAACTTACAGTGATCCACCTGCCTCTGCCTCCCAAGTGCTAGGATTAAAGGCATGTGCCACCACACCCTGCTACACATAAAAAATTTAAAAACAAAACATTTCAAAAAACGAAAACTAGTGAACAGCCCATAATATCCATGATATCCATTATAGTTAGATTTGGTATCATATAATTTAGATAAGGGAGTTTAATGGATTATTTCAAATCAATATATGTAATTCCAGATGTTTGCAGATTGTTTTCATGTTATTTTATACTTGCATTCCAAGTAGTAGCACATAAAGGGTTGTTTAAAGTGGAAGGTTCAAAGGTAGATACCATCCTTAAAGGACCAAAGTGGTTTTTTGTTTTAGCTCACTTTGATGTTTGTGGTTTTGTTTGCAATGAATCATTTCTCCTAAATTTCATAATTATAAAGCCTTTTAATGAAAATAACTTTTAATTTCAGAATAAAGGCTTCTGCATGCTGATGTTTTCAGTGAAAATCTTGATGGATTCTTTCTCTGAAATCAGGGCAGTGAGTTCTAAATAGTTTCTTTTTAATACCAGCTTATTTTGGATCACTCTTTCTCTCATGTTTCAAATTACACACAAATTGTGGCTTTACTAATGTGTATACTAAAAATACAGTCATATGGCTTTTCTCGTCTGTTTTTATATTTATATTTCTAAATCACAATAGGGCATTTGTTTTCATAATAAAACATAATTTTTTCTGGTTATTCATATTGGAGATAGGAGTATAATTCCCAGGACTTGGTTTTTCTATTCATTTCACATGTAAATGATACCCTTAAAATATTTTTACTTGGGGCTAAAGAGATGACTCAACAGGTAATAGCACTGGCTGCTCTTCCAGGGAACCCAGGTTTGGTTCTCAGCACCCACATGGCAGCTAACAACCATCCATAACTCCAGTTCCAGGGTATCTGACACCCTCTTCTGATCTCTGTGGGCATTGCATAACACAGGTACACTTACATACATGCTTGCAATACACTCATACACATGAAATAAAAGTAATAAATAAAATATTTTTAAAATATATTTTTACTTAATATCTCATGTTCAAAGTGTCCTTAACAGCTCATCATATTTGAAGATGTTCGAGATGCTGAAGATGCACTTTATAACCTCAATAGAAAATGGGTATGTGGCCGTCAGATTGAAATACAGTTTGCACAAGGTGATCGCAAAAGTAAGTGTTAACTACTCACTCAGCCTTGTTTACCTAGCAGAAAGAGTTTCCAAAATGAGAGTCTTCTATTGAAAATTCTTTTCAGAAAGTGATCTGGTTGCATGGCTGTTACTGTGATTTTTTCAAATCATGAATTACATCACAAGCCTTGTTCTTCATATTCCAGCACCAGGCCAAATGAAGTCCAAAGAGCGTCACCCGTGCTCCCCAAGTGACCACAGGAGGTCTAGAAGCCCCAGCCAAAGGAGATCTCGAAGTCGAAGTTCTTCTTGGGGAAGAGACAGGAGGCGATCCGATAGCCTGAAAGAGTAAGTGCTAGAAATGACAGCATGGAAAACTTTGTATTCTACTTTTCCTGGAAAATATTTTAAAGAGTTGTTGGGAAAAGAAAAAAGAGGCCATATGAATCATTTTGTTTAATATACATAAACAATTTTTGTAGAAAAATATGCTCTTTTCTATCACATACTGTTTTTGTTTCCTTTTCTGGGTACTTGGGATTGAACTCAAGACCTGGCACATGCTAGGCCTGCTCCCTGTTGCATCCACTGTGTAGTCAGTGGCTATAGTCCTAGCCCTTTTCATTTTGAGACAGGGTTTTACTCTTATTTTAACTTGTATGTATACATGTGGTATATGTACATACCACATATGTGTGGGTGCATATGAAGGTATGTGTGCATGTGTCTGCATCCATGCATGTATGCGTGTGTGTGTGTGTGTGTGTGTGTGTTGTAGGTCAGAGGTCTGTAGCTGGTGTTATCCTTGATCTCGTTCCACCTTAGTGTTTGGAAACAGGGTCTCTCACTGAACCTGAAGTTCATCCTTTAGGCTAGACCAGTTGGCTGAGGGATGTACCTGTCTCTGTCCCCACACCTCCCCCAGTGCTGTTTGCAGATGTGCACCACTACCCCTAGCATGTTTTTTTCATGATGTGTAGTCCAGGCTGGCCTTGAATATGCTATTTAGCCTCCTGCCTTAGCCTCCCAAATTCTGGGATTACAGGCATGCCCAGCTCATATATTGTTATTTAACTTGGGTTTATTAGATATCTTCCATTGTTTGTAAGTAATTGTTGTAAATATTGATTGGGGAACTAAGACTGAATTTAAACTTTTTAATTTAATTTATTATTTTATTTTGAGACAGGATCTTACTATGTAGTCCTTACTGGTCTAGAACTCACTATATAGACCAGGCTAGTCTTAAACTCATAGAGATCCATCTGCTCTGGCCTCCCAAATGCTGGGACTAAAGGCCTGTGCTACCATACCGAGCTCTTTTTTTTTTACTTTTTGTTTTATGTGTATAAGTGTTTTACCTGCATGTATGTAAATGCATCACATGTGTACAATGCCTTCAGAAGCAAGAAGAGGGTTTTGGTTTCTCTGGAACTAGAGTTGTGAGCCACCATGTAGGTGCTAGGAGCTGAACTCGAGTCCTCTGCAAGAACAGTGCTTTTAACCACTGAGTCATCTTTCCAGCTTGCAGCTCTTTTCTTTAACTGTTTAAATAGATAATATGTAGCTGGACTTAGTGGCACATGCTTGTAATTCCAGCTTTTGGGAAGCAGAGGCAGGAAGATCCAGAGTCCAAAGTCAGCTGAAGCTATATATCAAGATCCTGTCTCAATCTTTTCCCCCAAAAAGAAAAGACTCAGACCAAAAAAAGAACATTTTTTAAAAAACAGCCAGGTGTGGTAGCACATACCTTTAATCTCAGCACTTGGGAGGCAGAGGCAGGAGGATCTCTGTAAGATTGAGGCCAACCTGGTTACATAGTGAGTTCCAGATCAGCTGAGGATACAGGGAGACCTGGACTCAACAAACAAAAACACAATACAAAACGAAACAACAAAAAATTCCTAAATAAACACAACAATCCAGAATTCAACTCCTGAAAAGGATTAAACTCAGAAAATATAATACTTTGATTTATGAAAGGAGGGAGGTTTATTTCTATAAATTAATAAATTATTAAGAATTAGGGGCTAGCAAAATGGGTCAGTGGTTAAGAGCACCTACTATTCTTACCGAGAACCTGGATTTGGTTCCCAGTACCCACATGGCTGCTAGCAACTATCTATAGCTCCAGTTCCAAGGGATCAGATGCCCCCTTCTGGGCTCCTTGGGCATTGTGCACACATGGTGCCCCTACATACATGTGGGTAAAACACTCATTAAAAAAAATTTTTTTTTAAGAAGTAATGCCAGGTGCTGGAAAGATGGTTGCTTCTCTTCCAGAAAACTGGAATTCAGTTCCCACACCAGGCAGCTTACAACTGTAAGCTTACAGTTACTTACAACCTGTAACTCCAGCTGCAGGGGATCCAATGCTCTCTTCTGGCCCTAGTAGGCACCAACACACGTGGGATACACTTACACACACACACACACACACACACACACACACACACACACACAAATAAATAAATAAAAATAAAAATTTTAAAATAACTAATTCCAAGTATGTTAGGATTGCAAATAGGAGACAAAAATGTATATTTGGGAAGAAAAGACATTTGCAAGTTACCTATTTTCTACTTAGGAACTTGGTTCTGTTTATATTAGAATAATAATAAATCACAATGGAATTACATGGTGAAACTATTGAAATAGTAATTGAAATTGGATTGTCTTGCTTGAATTCTCTTAAATGTTATGGTTTAATGCTTTAATTTTTTCACAGTCATGTAGGCTTTTAAAGTGAATTCTGTTCTTAGAGCATGGTGTGTGGTGGCAACTGGAAGGTGGAGGCTGGAGATTCAGGAATTCAAGGCCATCCTCAGCTATATATCAAGTTCAAAGCCAGCCTAGGCTACACAAGTTTCTGTATGAGAGCCCTAAGAGGCCAGTCACATCCCCTAAGCCCTGTGGCTTACCAAGCCCCTAGTACTTGAGTCTGTGGGAGTTATTTTATATTCAAATCATACCACATGTTCAGTGTTGTGTAAAGCATATACCTTCTTGAAGTATTGTTTCTTAACCTGTTGTCTCTCTCTGACTTTATGGATGTTTGCAGATCTCGACACAGGCGGTTTTCTTACAGTCAGTCTAAGTCTCGTTCCAAATCACTACCAAGGCAGTCTACCTCAGCAAGGCAATCAAGAACTCCAAGGAGGAATTCTGGTTCTAGAGGACGGTCAAGATCCAAATCCTCACAAAAAAGGCCCAAGTCAATGGGAAAATCACAATCACGTTCACCTCAAAAGCAGACTAGCTCAGGAACAAAATCAAGATCACGTGGAAGACACTGTGACTCCATAGCAAGATCCCCAAGCAAATCTCCGAGAGGGTACAGCAATTCCCAAGCTAAGGCACAGACAGCAAAACACTCTCATTTTCATCCACAGTCCAGATCTCGGAGTCATCATCAAAACAGTTGGTGAACGGCAGCATAGCACTGCAGTCTGTACTATTAGTTACTTGAGCTCATTATGTTAAATAAAAATTCATCACGGCTTCTAGAAATGTGAGCTGATATTAGTTACTTTCGGCATGTGGAAGAAATAAAATCACTCTAGCTCTGGATTCATAAATATTTGGTCTTGATTTAAGGGCTCACACCACAAATCACTGTGTGTACAGTGTCACATTTTGTGGGCTGTATCTTGCTCATGTTGTAGCAGGGCGGTACTTTTCAAGGGAAATGGATAAAATGGAACCAGTATGGAAAATTCTACTTAGATATTAAATATTATCAATAATATACTTTACAAAAATATTTTCAACTCTAAAGCACTTTTCATGTAAAAATAATTGTGACTGTATATAATTGGACAGGGCAGACTTAAACTTTTTGACACCTATGTCTCTTGTGACTTCTGGTTTAAGCTTGGACCAGTTCCTGGTAGATAACTAGTACTAGATTACGAGATCTCAAAATAGAATTTGTATACAGAGTCTATAATCATTTCAAAAAAATAGCAAAGGTCAACAGCAAAGGTCAGTTGACATCAAATTGTATCCTATACCACGTTCACTTAAAATGTGAAAGCCAGGTGTGATGATGCATGCCTGCAATCCCAGCACGACATAGGGTAGGAGGAGCAGGACCAACCTGGGCAACATAGTGAATTCAAAGTCAGCCTGGGCTTTATGAGACCCTGTCTTTAAAAAAATTTTTTAAGTGAGACTGTTTTAGTACTAGATTTTGAGTGCTTTAAGGCTACTCTAAAAATTATGGTGTGGAACACTCAGAATCCAAAAATATTCATATAAGCCTTACACATTTGAAGTATAGTACATTTTGTATAAAAATCATATTTATACCATTATTTCTACATAGCTATTTTCATCTGCTTTTTTTTTCTTTTTAGAGCAGTATTCAATATTCTAAATTATATAGAATGTCTTTTTTTTAAATGAGCACTTAGTACATTATATTAAGATGTTCGGGCTGGTGATATGGCTTAGCAGGTAAAGGCTGTACAAACTTTATAACCTGAGTGCAAGCCTGGCAACTTGAATTCAATCCCTGGAACCCACTTAAAGGTGGAAGGAGAGAATCAACTTCACAAGTTGTCTTCTGACCTCCATACTCCTGCTGTGGAATGCATGCACCCACCTACACATCATGCACACAGACACATACACAATAAAAAAAAAATTTTTTTAGAAAACTGAGCATACTCTTTGGGCTGGTGAGATCCCTCAGTGAGTAAAGACACTTACCACCAAGCCTGACAACCTGAGTTTAATCCCCAGGACCTACGTGGTAGAAGAACAGAACTGATTCCTAAAAGTTGTCCTCTGAACTCCATGCATGCCGTGATGTGAGTGCATGTATATGTTTTTGTGTGTGTGTGCTGTGTGTCTGTGTGTGGGCACATAAGTAAATATGTAGTAAAAAAATCTTAAGTTCAAAACTGTACATTCAAGCCAGGCGTAAAGGCACATCCTATAATCTCAGCACTCAGGAGGCAGATGCAGGAAGAGCTTGAGTTTGAAACCAGCCTGGGAAACATTGAGACCCTGTCTCAAAAAAAAAAAAAAACTTCAAAAGACAACTTTGTAGCATTTGACTTTTACACTGCTCTGCATTTTTTAAACCAAATAACTTTGTTGATAGTTGTTGCTTTTATAGTTGTTATAACAATAATTTCTTTTAAGATGTGTTTGTAGCTTACATTTTTCAGAGGGTTTGGTAGATTTGTGATAAAATGGTTTTGCATATGATTATTATAGGAGATATATTTATAGAGCTCTGCTTGTATACCTTGTTGAATTATATTATTGAAACAAAGTTGTCTTT